GCATTTTACAAAAATATAAAGAACTGACAGATAAAGTTAACTAAATGTGTGCGCTGCAAATAGTTAACTAAGGAGTCAGGCTAATGATAATTTTAAAAATACAAAATCTAAACTATTCACTTATCAATCTGTAAACTAATGTGAATGATGAACAGAAAACGATTACCATTCAGATCTCTGTGTGACAGTAGGGTCAGCTGTCACAGTTGCTTAGCCTCATACAGCTGACCACAGGGTGTCCACGCATGAGAAAAGCCTTAAATTCTTGTATCTAAACATAAGGGCTTAAAATGAAAAAATTGATTGATTGAAATAGCTTTTGATTTTAGTAAATGTGACCACTTACTGCTGCACATTCAAAGAATGACCATTTGCTGTTATTTATAACCCATAAAATGTTTTGAAAATCTGCTGTGCTTAATAATTTGGAACAGTGCATTTTAAGCGTTTTATTGTTGTAAAGAAATACTGTCCTCATTGGCAGGTTTGTTCAGTAAAATTTGATTTACTCTAATAGTTCATGACTTAAAAATTATACTAACATTTGCATTGACCATTAAGTAAAATCTGAGGAAATATCACCTGCATACTACGGTAATTTGGAACATGGTGTATTTTTGCGTCTATCATTGATATTACTGCCAGCTGACTGAACGTTCGGCTTTGTCAATGACTAGCTAATGTTGCCGTTCTGCTCAATGCTACATCCAGCCTTGGAAAAAAAAAAGCTTTAGAAAATATGCGTTTGGTTTTTTTATACATTTCTGTTATTATACAGGTCTTATGATTAATGTTCTTGAAGTCTTAAATTTGAGTTGGTGATACCTGCAAAACTCTTTATAACCTGTTTAATTCATGTGTGACGTCAGAGGCTGGCCATTGAGTTGTTTCGCCGTCAGACATCCCGCAGCTCCTCGCCCCCTGACCTGAGACTGACTGCAGGCACTGCAACGTCTGAGAGAGATCCTGGCTCAGTTAAGAGTGATGACGACGCCCAGACCACTCTGAGCAACTCTAAGAAAGGAGAAGAGGAGGAGAGAACGCAGCATGACGACTCAAATGTAAGACTCACAAGACCAAAGTGGTAGCTGAGAGATTATTTGGATTTTCATAGTAGAGTGTGTTTTTGTTCATATGGTTCATTAAAAAAATGTAATAAGGAGAAGAAAAAAAAATGCATAAGAGATGATTTCTAACCTGAACCCAGCTGTAGTAGTCATCCAGTCACTATGTCTTCCTTGATTCACGTTTTCCCTTTCTTCCTTTTTTCGCTTTATCTCCCTTCGTTTCTCTCTTCCTTCCTTCCCTGCTTCTTACATTTTGTTTCCTAATTTTTGTCCTTTGCCTTCCTTCCCTCTTTCCTTTATTTTCCTTCTTTCCATCCTTCCTTCCTTATTTCTTTAATTTCCCCCTCCTTCCCTTTATCTTTCTGCTTTCCTTTTTGTTTCCCTCTTCTTTCTTTCTTTCCTTCCCTTATTTCTGCCTACCTTCCTTCATTCCTTCCTTGCTTTCTTCCTTCACTTTTTTCTTCCTCACATCTTTTCTTCCCTTGTTTTTTCTCCTTTCCTTCCTTTCTTTTTCCCTTTTTTTTCTTTCTTCCTTTGTTCCTTCATTTTCCCCATTTTCCCTTTATCTTGTCTTTTTTTCTGTCCTTCCTTCTTTCATTACTCCCTTTCTTCTTCTTTTCCTTCTGTCCTTCCTCCCTTTTCTCCCTTCTTTCCTTCTTTTATTCCTTCCTTCCTTCCTTGCTTGCTTCTGTTGAATTAGGTTTTATAAATTCACAGGTTTGTAGACTTGACCTGTTTGTTGTTGTTCAGGAACTGTCTGACGGAGACCTGGAGGTGGATTGTCTCACTGAGGAGGAGGTGAACCCGCTGGATGGCAGCAGCACCTCAGGAAGCTCCACAGCCACCAGCAACACTGAGGAGAACGACATAGACGAGGAGACCATGTGAGTGGAACCTCTCTCCTAGTCTGCCACCTTTTTAAAACCTTCAGAAAAAACTTTTTCAAACAGAAGGGAAAACGACAAATCATGCAAATGGAAATTATTGAGCTCATTTAAATATTTTTCGCGATTAATTATTTATTACTTTTTGCAACAGGCCCAGTTGTTGACTTACCATTCAGAAACCACTTGTTGCATTTTTGGTGGTTGTGCAGGAGGCTCCACTTCTGCTTTTCAAAGATGTACAGTTGTATAGTCATTCTGGAAGGAGCTCAAAATAGGCAGAACTGACCGGACTACAAACTGATTAAGAATGATTTTGTGCAATAAATTTGATGAACATGTTCCCTTTCAGTCGATTCACTCGGTACAAAACAGAGTTTGGGATATCACACCCCCGCGTGGCCTAACTGAAGACACCTTTTTTTTAAATGTATTTATTTATTTTATTTCGAACAGGCAGAAAAGACAATCAAGAAATAAAAAAAACA